GGCAAGATGTCGGGGTTGCTCCACACCACCCTCAGCGGCCTCAACAGCGATTCCTACTGCGAGATCAGCCAGTACCGCGACCAGCACTTCCGGGTGCGGAGGGGCCCCGGGGGTGGCGGGGCCCAGCCGGGGGACAGCGCCTGAGGGAGGGGAGGCCGGGCGGGGAGTGGGCGGGAGGGCCCTGCCGGTGGGACCGGGGGACGACGGGCGAGCTCACCCCGCTGCGCGTTCCCCTCTGCCCGCAGGGTAGCAGGCAGCTGCAGGAGAAGTCCCTGAAGATCTCCTCCACGCTGTACGTCGGAAACCTGTCCTTCTACACCACCGAGGAGCAGATCCAGGAGCTCTTCTCCAAGTGCGGAGACGTCAAGAGGATCGTCATGGGCCTGGACAAGATCAAGAAAACCCCCTGTGGCTTCTGCTTCGTCGAGTATCTTTTTCTGGTTCGCTGCCGGCCTCGGGTGTGGGGTTGCCACCTTGTAGGTCCCCTGCGCGCAGCCAGCTCAGCTGTTCTGCTGTGGGGAACCTGAGAAGGGTGACAGTCGGGTGCTTCTCTCCCCTTCCAGCCTTGCTGCTTCCCCACCACCACCCGACCTGGGAGACAGACTGTACAGTGGTGCCGTAGGTGAAAAGTGCTACCGCCCCTGTACTTCCTGGAGGTGGCAGAGAGCTCCTTTAATTTGTCACTTTCTGCAATGGTTTTAGGGCCAAAATGAGAACTGTTTGAATTGTCTGCCTGAGCTCTTGCGTGGTCAGAGCGAATACTCACTTTCTCACCGTACCTTTACACCTGCCACAGGGGTATTCCCAAGCACAGAGCACACGCTTGTCCACGTTGTACCGTGAGCTGCCTTAGCAAAGCTCTCCTGTGAGGCCTGCCCCTCTTGTTCAAATTCAGTCAAGTTTCATGCAGTATAAAAAGGCGTATTTCAGATGTCTAGCCCTTAGCAAGGCTTTAATGTGTTTGTTTCATCTGCTTGCGAAATAAGTGATCCAAAGCTATGTCTTCTAAGACTAGATGATCTTTAAGGTCCTTTCCAACCTAGACGATTCTGTGATTCTATGATTCTTGTCTATGCAGGTACTAACTAACTAACACTAAGTGATCCAAAGCTATGTCTTCTAAGACTAGATGATCTTTAAGGTCCTTTCCAACCTAGACGATTCTGTGATTCTATGATTCTTGTCTGTGCAGGTACTAACATTAAAATTCAGAGTTCTTTTTGAGTGGGAGCTGGTTTTAGCTCGGATTTATGTAAGTGCAGTTTTTGATCCCGTAGAGAGAGCAGGAAGAGCAGAAAAGGCTGGAAGGCAGGGTTTTTCTGCTTCTCAAATACGATAGCTCTCTGTTTTATTTTCCCTGTACCCAACAGAATAGCACACACACTTAGTTTTCCTTAGAGTGTGCTTCAGGTACTACACCAGAGCGGATGCTGAACACGCCATGCGGTTTATCAACGGCACACGGCTGGACGACCGCATCATTCGAACCGACTGGGATGCAGGGTTCAAGGAGGGCCGGCAGTATGGAAGAGGAAAGACTGGAGGACAGGTAAAGAAAGGCAATACCACTTCGTTCCTGAAATTGGATCCCCCTAAGACTGTGTACTGTTGTGCCAGTTTTGTCTCACGCAGAAAAATGTGTAGACTGTCAAGGTCTGATAATGAACGTTAGCCATTCCCAGGTTGTTTTGGTAACTGATGCCTGGTGTTAAAAGCTAGAAATGGAGTCGAAGGCCATTTCTGCCTAGGACTCCACAAACTTCCTGCAATGCAAGCAGAATGTTCCGTAATCCAACTTAGTATTCTTAAAATGATGCAGAATTTGGATGGAGGGGGATAGTGTGGCTGCTAGGCCAGTCTCCTAACGCTGCAGTTTACCCCGCTGCAAAGGTGGGGTTCCTTTGCAGATCTCCAGGGTGGAGAGGAGAAAATGGTCTGAAGGCCAGTCCTGGCAGTTCAGACAGCTGGACTGCAAAGCTGAATGAAAATACTTGGGGGGTCTTCTTTGCTTCTTCTCTAAAAAGACCTCAGCCATCAGATGTATCCTCGTTTGTCATTTTCACCACAATTACCACCTTTTTGGTGGATTATTTGAAGAGATTTCAAACGAATCAAAGTGCTTCTACCCTGAACTTAAGTCCCCTGCCAGCTGAGTGAGGAGGGGATGATTCTGAAGGTCTAGCAGGAGACAGGCAGTGCAGGGCACTAATATTTGTGTTACTGCTGTGTTCCAGGTGCGAGATGAGTACCGGACAGACTACGACGTGGGAAGAGGTGGCTTTGGCAAGATCATTCAGATGCAGAAGGCAAATCATCAGCCTGCAATCTATTAATTGCACCGTGGCTCCTAGCGGGCTCCGTCCTTCAGAGCTAGCTCTGTTCTTGCGTTTTGGATCGGGGTAGGGAGTGAGATCCCAGTTCCAGCAGAAGGTGACCCTCCTTAGACTGTGGATATACATGTATTCATCCCCCCTTCCTTCTGGGCTAGAGAGGGTGTTCTGTGCTGTTACAGGGCAACAAGGGGAAAAAAACAGACAGCTCTGCAGGATTCTGGGTAAGAAGAAAGGCAGCAGGTCACACACACCTTGTGCGACAGGTTCTCCTCCTTGCAGTTGAGCAGGTGGCTTCCTCCAAGCTGCGGCTGCGGCCGTGGTTGCTCTCCAATGGAACTCCTTAAAAGCTTAGCACCATCGGAGCCCCGGGCACCTTGTGGGGACACACAAGAGATTCAGGTTTCTAATTCACAGCCTCATCTGCATGCAAAGCAGGATCACTGTCTGGATGAGACAAGTGGAGCAAGGTCTTACCCTCTGCTTGGAGGTGCCTCTTTGCACATGTAGCCCTTGGGTTGGTCAGGGCCTGCAGAGCGTTTCTCTTTATGATGCCCCCAGTGCTGCCTGGCTTTTCAGATCCTCACTGTTTGGCATGATTTTGTTAAAAGTTTCTTTTCATTTTTTTTAAATAAACCGTTGTATTGGGTGTGGCTGAGAACAGAGTTATTTTTTCCCCCGAGCAGCCTTCAGGAGGCTGTGCTGTGTGTCGGTAGCTGGGAAGGTGCTGCTGACATGGTGGTGGTGTGGCTCCTGCTGAGCAGTGCTCCCACAGCATCAAGGCTCTTTCTCCAGTCCTTACCCCCCTCGCCCTGTAGGCTGGGGGTGGGCAAGGTCTTGGGAGGGGACAGAGCCACCCAAACTGACCGAAGGGGCATTCCATCCCACATGACGTCTGCTCAGCAACGAAAGCTAAGAGAAAGGAGGAGGAAGGGGATATTTGTTATGATGTTTATCTTCTGGAGCACCTGCTGTGCCTACTGAAGCCCTGCTTCCCGGGAAGTGGCTGGACATCACCTGCAGATGGGAGATGGGGAATAAAGCTTTAGTTTTCCTTCGCTCCCGTGTGTGGCCTTGCTTTTGCTTTAATAAACTGCCTTTATCTTGACCCACAAGTTCTTTTCCGTCTTATCTTCTCCCCACCTCTCTCCTGCTGAGGAAGGGCAGTGATGGAGGGGCTCGGTGGGCACCTGGCCTCCAGCCAGGGTCAACCCACCACAGTCCTCTCTGTTAGTATGTGAGCTGTTTAATGCTACTGATCATAGAACACTGGGACGGGGTTTGGGGAACAGGGTGTCGTCCTGGTGTAAAAGTCGCCAGCTTTTGGGTGAGGTGAATGCTGAAGTGTGCCCCGAGGTGGCCAGTCCCTGGGTGGCAGGGCATGTGGAAGGACTGGGGCAGGTCCCTAGGGTGGTTGTTGCCTCCCATCGCCTGGGACTTTACACCTAAACAGGCAACCCTGAGAAACCGAGGTGAAGGGTGCACTGCCTGCCCCAGTGCAAACCAGCAGTACTGGTTTCAGCCTGCCGTGTGCCTACAGAGCCACCGCTCACCCCTGTCAGAGGACTGTGGTTAAGGCAGGGACACAAACCACCTCTGAGAACACCTCGCCTGAGACCAAGGTGCAAGCTGTGACATGTCACGAGGACATGACAGTAGAGCTAGGGACTCAAACAACTACAGTTGCCCCAGAAGTGAAAAAGAATCACAGAATCCTGTGGGATTGGAAGGGACCTCTGGAGATCATCCAGTCCAACCCCCTGCCAGAGCAGGGCCACCCAGAGCAGGTTGCACAGGAACGTGTCCAGGTGGGTTTGAATGTCTCCAGAGAAGGAGACTCCACCACCTCCCTGGGCAGCCTCTTCCAGGGCTCTGCCACCCTCAAAGTGAAGAAGTTCCTCCTCATGTTTAAGTGGAACTTCTTATGTTCAAGTTTGTGTCCATTTCCTCTTGTCCTGTCCCTGGCCACCACTGAAAAAAAGACTGGCCCCATCCTCCTGACACCCACCCTTCAAGTATTTATAGGTGTTGATCAGATCCCCCCTCAGCCTTCTCTTCTCCAGACTAAACAGACCCAAGTCCCTCAGCCTCTCCTCGTAAGGGAGATGCTCCAGGCCCCTCAGCATCTTTGTAGCCTCTGCTGTCCCCTCTCCAGCAGCTCCCTGTCCTTCTGGAACTGGGCAGCCCAGAACTGGCCCCAGTGCTCCAGATGGGGCCTCCCCAGGGCAGAAGAGAGGGGGAAGAACCAGTGGACAAGGAGGTCAATGAGTCCCTGTCATCGATTAGTACGGGAGGAGGAAGAGAAGGAAGGGTTTGATCAAGATGCTGGTCCTTCGGCAAAGAAATTGGAGGAAGGAGTGAGAGAATTCAGATGAGTGGCAGAAACTGCCCGATCTCTGACCTCATCAGAGCTTTGAGACCTGTGGGAAGAAGGCAGGAGAGCAGATTGCTGCCCAGCTGCTCCCATGCCAGTGTAACAGAGCCGGCAGGCAGCATTTGTAAAGTAGGGGAGCCCAGCAGCTGGGATCCTTTGCTAGAAACTGGGAAGTTGAGAGAGAACTGGAGAAGAGGCAGCAATTTGTGGTGTCTGGAAAACGGCTCCTCTTGAGTGTGAGGGGAAGATACCCATTCTGGGAAAACCTTGTGAACTGCCCGAGAAAGTGGAGGACTGCAGATGGAGGCATCTAGTGCCTGAGAGAATTAGTGGTGCTGGAGGTCACCTACAAGGATCTACATGATGAGGTCTCCAAAGATGCAGAGAGTGTCCTGTGCATGGGGGCCGTGTGAGGGAAGTGCCCCAGCGTCATGTTCTATCAGCTTTGCAGCCATGTATTGCCCAGACACGGATGCATCAACTGTGGAGAGAGTGTCTTCTTGACTCCAAAACTTTGAAGAAAATCTCTGTCTCCCTCTTGTCCCCTCTGACAGGCAGTCTTCCCATTTTAACAGCGTGGCTCACACTATCTATCCTGTTCTCAGGGTCTGAACAAAGGACCAGAGTAGATGAAAACCTTTCTGTGCCCAAGAATCTCTCTGTTAGGGCAGGTAATTCCATTGAGCAAGTTAAATTCTGCCTGTGCGTCGGGGTTTGTGTTATGTAAATAATAGGAGCTGATCCCTGCCCAGTAATGTGTAATCGTGATTCTTTCATGCATTGTCTTATCCAAGATAATGGAAACTGTTGCACACCCATCTGCAGACCAGGCATACAATTTAAATTAGTCTAAGACTCACATTACTCCAAAGTCTTAATAACTGAGCGGGAGAGGAGAGAGTTACGCTGTGTTTGTTGAAATGTCTCCTGCCTGTTTGTTTTGCAAGTCAGGTTGCTCTGCCTGTACAACTGTCATGGGTCTTGAAGGAACTGCATGTTCAGTCTTGGGCAGGTTTCAGCAGTGACAGCCCTGAGAAGCCTGTGATGCCCGCTGCCCCTCAGAGCGGTGAAAAGGAGCAGGATATTGACTCAAGAGCAAAAAATACAAGCAGTCATCTGTCCAGCCTGGCAAAATGGCTTCAGCGCGAGGGCCCGTGCAGAGAATATGAATCACAGAGGGAATAATTACCTGGGCAAACCCAGCAGGGAAATGGGAGAACTTAAGGAAGATGGGGAGAGAAACCAGTCACTTAACTCCAGGATTAGCAAAGCAATCTCTTGTGTATGAGGAAGAGAAACCCAAGGCGAATTTTCAGTTTGCTCCTGGGAGAGGCTGGTGGGGCCTGTTGGGCACGTCAGGTCTATGGATGTGACAGAACATGCAGAGATCTGTTCAGTCAGGTGCCTGGGCTGTTTTGTGACTGCAGAAGGCTTCAGTCCCTATTTTTGCACGATACCATGATTTTGGCTCTACACAGATCTCCCGGTCCCACTCACTTCAGTCTGGAGAAAGAGTGTCTCCTTCAGCAAGTCCCAAACCAGGGCTAGCAATCTATATCAACATAACCTTTGCAAAGAGATTTGTGCTGACTTTTATTCAAACACATGTGTTTGCCTAAAAGAATCCACCTCAAATACTACAGATGCAATAAATGTCAGGATCCCTTCCTTCTGCAGCAATCCCAGACAGAACCCGAGAGAGATGAGAAAGTTTACAAGTCAGTAGGTGCTCCCTACGAGCCCTTGGCCCCTGCTGCCACATGTAGGTAGCCACGTGGCACCGTGCTGCAACAGTCAGAAGAGGTGTCCTTGCCAAGAGCGTTCCCAAGCACAGTGGCTGCCAGAGCCCTGGAGCAGCCCCTCCTGCCCTGGCCGGGCTCCTGGCCATGGCACGCTCTGTGCCCAGAAGACTTGGGCTCCAGGGCTGCTTTTCAGACACCTTTCATCAGCACACAAAGGTCCTGTTAGGAGAGAAAGCGCTTTGTCCTCCTCACATTGCTGGGGCAGGGCCAAGCCGTGCAGCTCAGCCAACAGACTGAGAGACCTGACCAGACCCAAGAGAAACCATGTACATCTTAAGAGCAAGCATGGGGCTGCCTCTCCAAGCAAGCCCTGAGCAGTTGACATGCTGGAAGCAGAGGCTACTTTGCCCGACCCACAGCCCAGCTCTTTCTGCAAAGAACCCTGATGGTGAGTTCATGCCAGCACCAACCAAAGGAGCTTAAACCACCCTTCGGGCTTCCTGAGGAATCAGGACTTGGACTCTAGTGAGTGTCCGCTGGATCCCTTGTGATCTGTGGAGACCTTCTTCCTCCATGAGGCAGAACAGAACAAAGTAGAGTGGTTTTGCCAGGAGAGGCTGCTCCTCCTCGGGCTCCTTGGCTGTGCTCTTGCTCAGCGACACCATACTCAAAGCCATCTGCACTGGGGAGGGCAAGAGGCAGACGGCAATTCTCATTCCGTGTGAGAGCTTTTAGAGTCCTCTTTGATCCAGTAACAAACCTGAGCAACCTGACCAAGTTTTAGAGCGGTCAAACAGCAACATTATAGTTGGGGTGCTCCACAGCCACTTCCAGCCACTGCTCCCCCGAGAAGATCCTAATCACCTTCCTCTCATGACCTAGTGTCATACAGGGTCCCATACTTTGCCATACACCCCGGAGAGGGATGCACCAGGCCTGGCATCACAGTGCTGGTAAATGAGGTGGACCATCTCTTCCTCCACCTCACAGATGCAGTAGACCAGCTGGCCCAGCAGGTCACTGTCAAAACCTGAGAAATTCATCTTCCCAACCATCTCCTCCGCTGCCAGAGCTGCCATCACCTTCACATGGAGGCACCGACGTGGCCTGTGCAGCTCTGAAAGGGCCTATTCATAGTCCATGCTGACCCAGCCAGGGCCCTGGACCTGTGTGCTCTGCACCTGGGCCCGGCACATTGCCAGCCTCCCCAGCCCCAGTTGTCAGCACCTTGCACCAACATCAGAAAAACCCGGCACATTGCCAGCCTCCCCGGCCCCAGCCCGTTGTCAGCACCTTGCACCAACATCAGAAAACCCACCATGATCTTCTTGGCCCCCTTCACATAGTCTTTGCTGTCCTGAATGCAGTGGGCAGCAGTGAGGAATCACCGCTGGGACACCAGCAGGCCCATGCAGCCCATGGAGATCATGATCACGGAATCATGGCATTGTCAGAGTTGGAAGTGGAGATAATGATCACGGAATCATGGAATTGTCAGAGTTGGAAGGGACCTCTAGAGATCCTCCAGTCCAACTCCCCTGCCAAAGCAGGGCTGCCCAGAGCACATCACTCAGGAGCATCCAGGCGGGGCTTGAAGATCTCCAGAGAAGGGGACTCCACACCCTCCCTGGGCAGCCTCTGCCAGGGCTCTGCCACCCTCACCCCAAACAAGTTCTTCCTCACATCCCAGTGGAACTTCCCATGGTCCAGCTTGTGCCCGTTGCCCCTCGTCCTCTCACTGGGAACCACTGGAAAGAGTCTGGCTCCATCCTCCTCCAACCCACCCTTTAGACACTTGTCAGCATTGATAAGGTCTCCCCTCAGCCTTCTCTTCTCCAGGCTCAAGAGCCCCAGCTCTCTCAGCCTTTCCTTCTCCAGGCTCAAGAAGCCTCTCTTCTGCAGCTTTCTCAGCCTTTCCTCATCAGGGAGATGCTCCAATCCCTC